GGTAGTTACCACAAAGAATGGCCATGTAGGTTCAGTTTGGACCACGGCAATTAAATACACACCTAAGTGAAACTCTATAAGTATTAAAGAAAATTAAGGGGTTTTCCCCGTACTATATCTTTTGTTGTTTTTGACATTTTGTTAAGGATATTTTATATTTCTAGAAGAATGAGTAGTTCAAGTGGTAAGCTAGCTTCGCAAGTTGAGGTTAAGTCAAACGGAGATGTGTTTCATGAGTTGCTAAGATACAATCCTCATCAGCTGCCCACAATAAACCCGAATTGAGTTCAAAATTGCAATTATTAGTACATTTCCTTAAGTAGTGAGATATTATTTGTTAGTAGTAATGTGATCTCTTTCAAATAATAGTATATATTTATTTATAATAATATGATATTTTAAATAAACACATTCATTATTCTCTTATTAAATTATACATTCTTTCAAAGTAGTATTTTTTTATGTTTTTCCAATATGGGTATATTTTCGTAAATAGTGAATAGTATTTAAAATTTTAAAGTTTACTAGTATTATACTAAATATAGATTTTAACTATATACTAACAACTCACTAATGGATGTCCTGTCTAAGGAGGTTGGATTTTAAGTGGGTCTGTGGTGACCCCTCCAATCTTTCCTGGGGATGATTTCTAGTGTGGTTTATGGTACACAAGTATAAAAAATTTTAAAACAATTATTTCAATATTATACTTAAGACATTAGTAGAAGTTATTAGTATTGTAAAAGTAGTATTAAGAAAATAATGTGCATGGTGTTAGGTGAAGAAAAATGTGTTGAATTGCTTGACAAGGAAGTTGCTAAGTCTAAGTGCGTTCCCTCGCACGATGTACATGCTTGTCTAAGTGCTTATATGAATTAAATGTTTTGATTGTTATGCACGGGATGTCATAAATGCTTTCTTTGATTTATGTTAAAAATGTTTTGGAATTGAGACTATATGCACGTACGATACTGTGGTAGTGATCACTAAAGTGAAAGGAGACAAAAAAGCTGGAAAGCTCAAGTCCTAAGTGAGAATAGCCTTCAGTTAAAATGATTCCTAATTTCGGAGGGTTTATATTCGGAACTGTGCGCAAGTTATCATGATAAAGTATATAACTATGTCTTAAGTTCTAAAGTTTTGACTATATTATTCCTGAAATGAGAAAGTTACGAAGTGCAATGTTGTTTTATAAAATGGAAATGTTCTATGAAATAGTTTTTAATTGATCATGTTTCCGTGAAATATTTTCGAGTTTGCATAAGTACTTGAACTTGCATGTACTGACCCCCCAATAGATATTTCGAGTGACAGTGATGACGATTATGACGATGTGGAGTATGACGGGGAAGAATGGTAGATTGGTGACCACTAGGCGAATTGAAGAAATGTTTTTTTGTATTTTGTTATAGTTTAAGTCCGGTGCATAAGACTCTAACAATTTACTTTTGATAAATAACGTATGATAGTTTGGATTTATCAATCTTAGAGTTTTAAAAAAAAAAAATGTAAGATGCCTTACTTGTATGACATGGGACATAGTTCTTTGTTATACTTGTGGCGTGTCAACTATGTCTTAGGTTCGGAGCGTGACAAAACTCTCTTTTTATCTTTTTGCCATGTGGTTGCGATATAGATTATGCTAAATTAAAATAGTAAAAGATACAAAATATGTCCACCTTTATCTTTTTTAGTTCTTTTCGGGTTTGTTCCTTTTTGTTGCTTAGCAACGAAATCTCAGGCCTCCTTGCCAAGACCAAGAAGATGGTGTCCGCCACGAGATGTCTTCCATGAGATCTACAAAGAAACACCACATGACCTCTCTGGTACCTGCCCATACATTGACGGCGTTGATTTTCATGAAGGTGATTGGGGAAAAGAAGGAACTGTACCTTCCTGGAGATACACTCATGGTAGCCTGGATCTTTGGTTTTTTTTTTTCACTTTCAACTCGGGTAGGGTTACGAATCACGAAATATCATGTTATTTTAATTCCAACTGTTCAAAATTGACGAGCTTGTGGTGATGACAATAACGTATGAAGAGTTTCAAAATGATAAATGTTAATTTATCATTGACCGACGTCCGGCGAGTATATATAACACTTTGGATGGAATACATGGCGTAAAAATTTGCAATCATATGCAAACTCGTGCTGATTAGTTAGATATTGGAACGAAGTTTGCTAAAAACAAGTCAAGTAAGATATAAATTGGTCATTCCAAGCTTATAAGCTATAGATATCATTTTCAGACTTGTATCTATTTTGAAGTAAAACTCATAACGAACTGTTTCCAAGGAAGTTCAGCCTTAAGTTGAATTTCAAATTTTGCTCTCCTCTCTATTATAAAGTAATTTTTTTTGTGTGATACTTCTTCCGTTCCATAATTATTGTCCAGTTTGGATTTTCATTTTTAGTTCAAATTGTCGTAAAAGAGAAATCTTAAATTGGACAATAATCTCGGAATAGAGGGAGTACTAGTTTACCAAATAAAGAGAATAGTTATTTTGGGACGAAACTAGTATTAAACAGATTTTTTCTTTTTTTAAGTTGTGTTAGAAAATCGGCATTGACTGTTTCTAAAACGACCTTTTTTGGGTGTTTTTTTCTGGAAACAGCAATAGAACGAGCTGTAGTCAAGTGATTGGACATTGGAGATGTCTTTGGCGAATTTATGAGATGGCAATAAAATTATGATTTCTGACATAAGGATGACTGGCAATAAACAGCTAGAACGAGCATGACTTTGGGCCATAAGGATTTGGAGAATTTATGGGATGGCGATAAAATTATGATTTCTGACAACTGACAAACGGAGACTGGCAATTGATTAAGGCTAAGGATCGAACACTTGAATACGTTGCTTTCAATATTTTTTTTAATTACAGATAACAAAAAATTAATGCTCATTCTGTGCAAATATATATATATATATATATATATATATATATATATATTTATGTAGTGTTAAACGAAGTAGACTATATATATGAGATGGAAATATGAGATGGAGGGAGTAACATTAAAGGTGATGAGAAAATTACCTATTGCCTTTTAAGTGGCTGCTTGAAGAAAATAAATGTGGAGGATAAAGAATTTTTGCTGGTTCTCATGAAAATATTTGTACAAGGATAGTTTTGGTGTAATACAAATGTTAAAATTCAATATGTATTTTTTTGTTTTTGGATAAAAGAAATAATATATTATATCATTAAGTTAGCACCAAGAAACTTTGAACCTTACCTCATTTAAATAGCATTACTGTCAAACTTCCCTTTAAACTTAGAAAACAAATAAAAGATACTTGTCCCACATTAGAATTGGGAAATTGATTAAAATATATACCCCATTTGCTATTTCTCATTATCAATTAGTTTTGAGTTGAAATCACATGTGGACTTATATGGGCCTTCGAGATGGTATCAGAGCGAATTTTATCCACAGACTTTGTCGGTATACTTTGACCGATCCGGCAGTTACTCCCGTTTGATTGACCAGTATTGGGTCTTTATACCCGTATTGAGTTTTAACTGACCTGGTAGTACCCGAGAAATTTGATTTACCCGTACTAGTCTTTAACTGACCCGACAGTACATCCAAGGATTTCAATTTACCCCTATCAGGCTTTACCGGTGTTGGACTTTGATTGTTCAAGCAGGCCTTTTCAACCCCTTTGAACTTGAGAGGGGGTGTTAAACTCCTCTTTCAACTTGAAAAAAAGTGAAAGACATTTGTCCCACATTGGAATTAGAAACCCAACTTGATCAAGATATATACCCCATGTGTTACTCCTCTTACTAGTAATTAATTTTGAGATGGAATCATACGTGAAAAATATGGGCCTTTAAGAATTACATATTCATGCTATGCCAACCAACCATCCAAATGCATAGTTTATATTGTAATTTATAAATTATACTAAAAGTAGCATGATACAAAATTATAATGTGATAAATTGATTAACTATTTGAGAGAGAGAGATTATTTTTTAGAATTCTTAATGAATTTAAGTATTATAATAACCATTGATATCAATGCGAGTATCTTGAAGTCGACAATCAAAGAAGACTCAGGGAGTTTTTCGCATGATATAAAACTAAATTAAACTCCTGGTACCTCTCTCCCATTCTCTCTCAAACCCCAATTATATATGAAAAAAAAAATAAAGTTTCTTCCCCATCTTCTCATTACAGGAAAATGAAGAAAATAAATTTGTTTATCGGTTTTCGTTTTTTTCTCTGTCGTTTAATAATTTTAATAATTGAGATTATTCTAACATCATAGTTTTAAGTTAAGTCCTTCAACAGATTATTTATATAATTTGTTGAGAGAATATAGTTTTCTTTTTTACAATATTTCCTTGGTAAATTGCTCTACTGAGAAGTAGGTCCATTAATTGCATCGTTCGTAGCGACGATGAAAACGTTCGCAACGTAAATTGTTTCTTATGTGTATTTAAAAAAAATGCATACATCTTCTCTGCTTAAGTATTCTTATGTGTATAATTGGTTTTTTTTCTCATTTATTGGGAAAAAAATCCAAACCTAAACTAGTAAGGAACCGGTCGAGCATTCTCCTTTTACTCATGAAACAACATAAATACACGGGACATTGCTTTGGACTTGACTCGAATGAAAGCATGGTTTGTTTTGAATTGTATTGTTATACTTAACTCGATGGTAAATTAAAGACAAATCCCAATTGATGTCATTCTTGATTTTGGATATATATATATATATATAGGTATATATATTAATGTCATTTGTTTTTTAAAAAATACTAGCGGAAAGTCCATTTAAGTGTGTTACTGGATGAGTATGACTGCAGTTTAAACAAGAAATGATCAATTTCTGAGAGAGAAAAGCAATGTAGATACGGCGTGAAAATTTTTGTATACGTCTATTTTACTGTTTTGGTAAAAGCACAAGCTGGTTATTTAATTGTTTGTTTTTTTTTAATTGCGAGAAGGTTTTCTTCTAGTTTCAACTCTCAAATATATCTATTATTGAAAAAAAAAAAAAGGATAACAAGGAGATCTTTCAATTACTTGATGGGTGTTTCACGTTACTTTCCGACAACGTGGTAGTTGCCATAAAAAGCGGCCATGCAGGTTTAGTTTGATCCATGAGACCATGACAATTTAATGTACACGGCTAAAATGGAAACTCTATAAGAATCATAGAAAATTTAATTTTACATCATGCTATTACTTCTTTTGTTTCTGTTAAGGAGAAGTTGAACTTCCAGAAGAATGAGTGATTCAAGAGGTAAGCTAACTTCCCAGGTCGAGGTTAAGACAAATGCAGATGTGTTTCATGAGTTGCTAAGAAGCAAACCTCATCAGTTGTCAACAATAAGTCCTAACAATATTCAAGATTGCAATTTGCATGATGGTGATTGGGGCACTGTTGGATCCGTCATCTCCGTCAATTATACTCATGGTAATCTTTCTTTTAATAACAAGCGTCGATCGAGAAAGTAGCTTCCATTTCATTATCTTTTTAATTGTTGTTTGTTTTAATTTGGTTCTATTCGATTCATTCCTTTATTTTATTGCTTAGATGGAAAGGAGTGTGTTTCAAAAGATATAATTGAGGCAATAGATGAAGAAAAGAAACTGGTGAAATTCAAAGTAATTGAAGGAGATTTGCTGGAACTGTATAAGAATATCAGTGTAACTGCTCATGTTGAGACAAATGGAGAAACCAATTTAGTGACATGGACCATTGAGTATGAGAAGCTTCACGAGGGCATCCCAGATCCCAATACTTTGATGGACCTTTGCCTCCAACTCACCAAGGATATTGAGTCTCACCATCTCCGCAGGTTAATTATTCAAATTTATTCATCACTTTTTCAGTTCCATTTTAATAATTAATTTCTTTAATCTAATAAGTAAGATCCGAAATATATGTACACTAATTTTGTGTAGATCAATTTCTGCTTTTTTATTTTTTTTTTTGTTTAGCAACGAAATCTCAGGCCAGGAGGCCAACACCAAGAAGATGGTATCTTCAATTGAAATAAAGGTTCACGGGGATGTCTTTCATGAGATCTACAAAGAAAGACCACATGAGATTTCGGGTATCTGCCCATACATTCACGGCGTTGATTTGCATGAAGGTGATTGGGGAAAAGAAGGAACTGTCCTTTCCTGGAGATACACTCATGGTAGGCGGGATCTTTATTTTTTTATTTTTTCTCCTTCCAACTCAAGTAGGGTTACTCGATCTTGATAAAGACAGTTAATTCTTCAACTTGAGAGTTAGATGGAAAAAGAAAAAACGGAAAAAAAATTACGGTTGAAATTTACCATTGGTCATTCAAACTTTGGGACTCAAATGAAATAATTCAAAATTTGGGAGTAATATATATTTTGTGTTTTCTTAAATGTTTGGACTAAAACTTTAGTTTCTATATTGATACTTTTTATGTAATTCGTTGACATTTGATGTGTAGATGGCAAGGAAAGAGTTTTAAAAGACATAGTTGAGGCCATTGATGAGGCAAACAAGTCAGTGACATTTAGGGTGTTCGAAGGAGATATAATGGATCTGTACAAAACTTTTGTAATCACCCTCCATGTTGATACACTTGGCGAGAGAAACTTAGTCACTTGGACGCTTGAATATGAGAAGCTAAATGAGAGCATTCCGGATCCTCATTCGTTCATGGAACTCCTACTTCAAGAGATTAAGGATATTGAGAGTCATCACCTCAAATAAATCAACCCATTGAGGGCATGAATTACTTCATGATCTTCAATCAGACATCTCTCATATATGTTGTGAATTTCCCATTTTGATTTGTTGCATCAAATTACGAATATTGTGGTGTGAGCAAGATTCCTTCTTATTGTACTATTATTCATGTTTTCTTACTTATTGTAACTTGTATATCGTACTGTGCTATGTTTGAAGTCAATAAATTTAGGATTCATGGTGTTTCTGATTGTTGTTAGATACCTTTGCACGATAAAGTTAATGTCGGGTCCATTAGTATTATGCCCAATATCGCAAAAGGTCTTTAAACAATAAGATAAACGCAATTAATTTTGCCTTCGACATGGTGATCAGATGGTTTTGGTATATGTCATTTTTGCGCATAAACTTATGATATGTGGTAAAAATTTTACTTCTTATTCTTTTTTTAAAAAATAGTCAACTCAATACACATTTAAAAGAAGTAATATAGTGCGAAAGTACCTAATAAAAACATATTTATAAAGTCTCAAATTTGTTTTCCAGTTAATCCATCGGTTATCACGATCTCTTAAGATCCAACGTCGAATAAATAACGTTATGGGCTTCCATCACAAAGTAGTTGTTCTATTGTTTCGTCAGTTCATAAATGTCCATTTATACTATTTGTCAGTGAATCTATTTTTACCTCTATCTTTCTTTCTGAAAGGATCTCTTATATTTTAATGTTAGCTCAAGGACAAATTCGCTTATTGATAACATAATAGTATAATTACCAGGCCATTAAGTGATCCTTAGAGTTGATATGGTGAAATTATTCTTTTGAGTTTTATGGCCACTTTTTGAGAATCACACAAACAACGTATTTAAGTTTCATGCAAGATCTAATGATTTGATTTGGTAAACCTTGAAGCAGCAAGCAGGTCCTCGATATTGGATAGTTGTACGGACGGTGAATTTTGCTAAAGTGCCTAAACCTTCTCTTTAGAATAGCGATCATTGACACAATTTTCACTCAGCTACATCGTCTCTTTAAGAGGAAGTGCATAAGGCTATTAGAAACATTTGTTTCCAAATCATTTGATGGTATGTATCGGAGAGGTTAGGAGAAAAAATCAATATAATTGTAAAGTTAGTATATATTTCCTCAGTTTCATAAACATAGTCTACATTAAAAATTGTTAATTATACTTTTTTTTAGTGCAAATTTAAAATGTCTGATGGTTTTGTGACTGAGCCTACTAATTTACCGGATTAATTGATAAGCATAGTTTAATAATAACATATGTAACTAGATATAAGAATTTTATTAAAGTTATATTACATAAAAAATAAAAATAAGATACCATCCCATCGGTGATCATGCACTATTATTGATGACAAATAGTGAACATTCAGGATAAACACCTCTCATATCCTACAGAATTTAAATGGTTAAACTTAAAACTTAATGATCAGACTAGAACTAGGACTGTATACAAATTGAGTATGACCTCAAACTAAATCGAACTACATCCAGGCAAATTGATGCACAAAAGAACAAGAGAATCTACTAGCCAAAAGCAGCATCTACAAGAGAAAGAACATTGGCCATGATTTTGTTTACTTGGTTAGGTGTTTTATGATGTTTTCGCCCACAGACGGAGTTGTTCCTCCCTCCGAAAATCCACCCATGCAGATACTGACACCGGTATGAGCACCACTGGCGTAAATTTTTGCATCATCCAGGTCCCCGTAAATGTTTCCAGGATGTATCAATGCGTGAATCGTAGAATTAATATAGTCGATTGACTCTTTCGTCAACTCGACGCAAGCTTCTAGAGCTGAAACATCCATATGGTTAATCCCTTTCTGCTTTGCGATCTCCGAAACCACCTTGGATGCGTTGTGGGCCCCGTGAATCGCGACGCGGATGGAGGCGTAGCAAAGCTTTGAGGGGCTGTTTTTGACGTAAGAAGCATATGGAAGAAGGGTTTTAACACAAATATGGGGATTTACAGCCAACTTGCATTGGGTTTTTATAAACTTTGTATAAGTTTCCGAAACATTGCAATTGCATTTTGCTGAAATAGTTTCCAAAACATTAGAAGGGCGAGGCAAAGTAGTGTGTTAGAACTGCAAATTCTCAAGTTCTCCATATTTTTCTCAGTTGTTTATTTGATTAGACAAGTGTATTGGAGATTTAGGAAGGTGCGTATTTAAAATTTTTGTTAAATATTATTACCATCAGCACTACGGAGAAGGTGAATCAACATGCATAAGAAATGGGCCAAGATTTGATGGATTCATTTGCTAAAAATACTCGATTGGTTACATTATATGCATAAGAACACTTCAAAACTACTAATAACCTGGGGAATTTATTGAAAAGTGCCCCAAAAAAAAAATGGCCAAAATGTAAAGCAGATTAGAGGCGAAACAAAAAATTCATTAGCTTTTTTCTGTTTCTATAGATTTTTAATTTAAATTTAATAATGGTGGGAGTATTATTTTACTTGTTAATTAATACGGTTATTCTAGTTTTGTTTGCTTGCTATATTTAAATCAGTTATTTTGCTCTAACTCTGCCCATTTTAAAAGATTTTTAGCTTACATGTAATGGTAAAAGTATTTATTTTTTTCCCAATGTATTTTGCACCAAAATTTTTTTTCCCCAAAAGTACCGTTCAATTATTTTTCATCCATCCGAACTCTCATAATTAAATACACAGATTTCAATGAATTGGAATTCATAGAGAAATTTTTCTTTCTCAACTAATCATTTTTAGGTTTTTTTTTACTTGTCTATTCATATAATTTAATTGTTCTATATTTTCTTTATATAATTTATTTTACCTTATTCACTCACATTCTTTTAACTGATTTTTGATTGAGATGCAACGGTAGGTGCTGTTTTCCTGTATATCTAAATATATTTATGTAGGACACTAGTTTATAAATTTATAATCATAAATTCAATTAATGTCTTCGCTTTATTTACAAATATTGTATTACTCGGTTAGTCAAATAATAGCCTCATGTTGTTCACAATGATGAATTATTGTTATTGTTGTTGTTGTTGTTCTTGGAGAGATAGCAAGTTAATTTTTTTTTTTTTTGGTATGTTCAAGTTAAATTTATTTACAGATAATATTGTTCCTGCCTTTCAATTCAAATAGCATGGAGCTCTCCTTCGTTACTTTGAATATTAATAATATGTACGTTTATAATTACTCTTCTTAATTCGAAAACTGTTATAACTGAGCATCATGACAATTTTTTTGGCATCCTACTTACAATATATATTTGGGTTTCATGCAAGATCTAGTGATTTGATTTTGATAAACCTTGAAGCAGCAAGCTGATCCTTGATATTTCTATAGTTATACGGCCTGTGAATTTTGCTAAAGTGCCTAAACCTTTTCTTTAGAATAGCGATCATTGAGGCAGTTTTCACTCAGCTACATCGTCTCTTTAAGGGGACGCGCGTAAGGCTATTAGGAACATTTCCTTTTCCAAATTATTTGATGATATATTGGTGAGGGTCGGAAAAAAAGAAATCAGTATTTTTCAATTGTAAGGTTAGTATATACTATTACACACTTTTAATTATACTGTACTGAATGCAATTTAAAATGTTGGCTATTTTTTGTGCGTGAGAGAGGTAGACTGGTATTTATCAAGTTATAATAAAATAACAAAATAGAAATAGGATATTATCCCATCGGTGATCAAGTACTACCATTGATGACAAATCGTGAACATTCAGGATAAACGAATCATATCCTACAGGCTACAGAATTGGTCTGTTTTCAATTTGAGACTGACCGCAAACTAAATCGAACTAGATCCAGGAAAATCGATAACAAAAATAACAAGGGAATCTCCTAGCCAAAAGTAGCATAGATAAGAGATAGAACATTGAGCATAATTATATCTACTTCGGTTAGGTGTTTTTTGATCTTCTCGCCCACGGACGGAGTTGTTCCACCCTCCGAAAATCCATCGATGCATATAGCCACATCTGTATGAGCACCGGTCGCGTAACTTTTTGCCTCATCTAGCCCCCCGTAAACGTTTCCAGGATGTTTCAATGCGTGACTTGCGGATTTGAGATAGTCGATCGACTCTTTCGACAACTAGGCGCGAGCTTCCAGTGATGAAATATCCATATGGTTTAGCTCTTTCTGCTTTGCGATCTCCGACTTAGAATAGGGAAATTGTATTAGATTCATAATATGTTGTGCACAATATACAGATTATAAATAGACAATAACAAACCCTAAACTAGAACATAATAGGAAATATACTAAATATTACTATACGCCCCCGCACACTTACGGCGGAGAAGAGAGAAGCCGAAATTTGTCCCGAAATCGAAAGAATAACTCTTTGGACAAGGGTTTTGTCAGAATATCAGCAAGCTGATCAGCAGCAGAGATAGAATGGACCGAAACAAACTTACGCCGAACATGATCTCGAACAAAGTGAAAATCAACCTCAACATGTCTTGTACGAGCATGGAACACAGGATTGACAGCAAGGAAAACTGTATTACTGTTGTCACACCAAATAGAGGGAGGGCGATTTAAAGAAACGCCTAACTCGGACAACAGATGACACACCCAATTCAGTTCAACACAGACATTAGCAACCGCACGAAACTCAGCCTCTGTAAACGAGCGAGCCACAGTGGGCTGCTTTCTAGATGCCCAGGCAATGAGATTAGGTCCCAAATAAATGAGAAAACCAGTAGTAGAACGACGATCATCCGGACAACCCGCCAAGTCAGCATCACTAAACGCAGTAAGAGTACCCAAATCTGTAGGATGCAGAACTAAACAGTAATCAACGGTACCGCGAAGATAGCGAAGAACCCGTTTGAGACCCTGAAAATGAGAAGTGCGAGGCTGATGCATGAACTGACAAAGCTTATTAACCGCAAAGGAGATATCTGGACGAGTGAGAGTGGTATACTGCAGACTGCCACACAGCCGACGATAAGTAGTCGCATCATCAGGAGACAACAGAGTACCATCCAAACGGGACAACACAACATTAGTCTGCAATGGAGTGGAAACAGGTTTGCAAGTTTGCATATTTGCAAGTCGTAGCAAATCAGTGACATACTTGCGCTGAGAGAGAAGCATACGCTTGGAAGTACGACGAACCTCAACCCCAAGAAAGTAACTCAATGGACCTAAATCCCGAAGAGAAAACTCCTTAGCAAGACAAGAGATAAAATCCTAGACCAAACCAGAA